AAAAAAAAAAAAAAAAAAAAAAAAAACGGCTCCAGGTTCCGGAGTCTCAAAGCGTTTGTCACGACGTGTTCCACATTCTGGCTCCTTCTGCACGTGAACGAACACTCTTCCACTCAGTTTCTCGGCTGTATTTCTCCTCGCGGTGTAGCTTATTAGCAAAAGTCGGTATCAAATTCTAATTGACTGATAAATCGCGGGAGTGAAGTGGTTTAACAGTGGTTTCTATCGTAGACAATCGATCCCGCGACACTTTGAGACTAGAGAACGAAGAACGATCATTCTATAGATTATAATTAATATACTTTCGTACAAATGTATAGAACATCGTGTTAAGTGTTATTATTTTAGGGGGGTACAGTGTATATAAAGAATCGTATAAATGTATATATTTATATTTATATATATATATTTATATATATATGTATAATGACGCCAGCTCGCCGGAGAAGCAAATTCGCGATCGGTCCTCCGCGCGAGCCGCTGTTTGAGCTTTGAGATACGCGTACCTTTCGTCTTGTCTTTCTTGCTTCTTCTTTTTTTTTTTTTTTTTTGTTTTTCTATCTTTAACGTATAAATGTACCATGCACACAAACGCACGCATACACGCATGCTCGAATACAATCTTGATTTATTGCACGGACTTTTCACGCGAGAAGAATTTCGCGTAAATACAATTGATGAGATTAATATGGTATATAAAATTTTCTAAATATAACACAAAGAACAGTCAACATTATACGTTTAAATTTTAATGTCTGATCGATTTTATGATTTCCTTTGCCACCAACATCAGTTAATAAAAAGACGAAGGATATTATATAAAAATCCTATAAAAAAAGTGTGCGTAAAAAACAGTTGAAATTATTGTCTGGAAAATTTGTCATGGATTAAGGGCGTTGGTACTTCTAATATATCCTGTGTATTCAAGCACGCGTGAACATCAGCAGACGTGAGTAAATGTGGACTGATCGTTAGCGCACGACGCGTGTCAGCCATGAAACGATCTAGATCTGTCGCGATCGTAACGGTAGATGACCGTGGATCATCGTTGTTCAAGTTTCCTACAGTGATATTACAAGAGCAACGTGGCGCTTACATTTCTCGTCGCGTGAATCGAATTCTCACGAGTTCGATCGTACGTGGGAAATCAATGAAGCTTCACGCCAGAAAAACATCTCGCGATTATCCCTCGTACGATCTTCGCTATTGCTGTTACAATGTCACTGTACGAGAAATCGTATTGCGCGTTCGTATATTTTCTTTTCGCTTTAGTATTTATGTATTTATTTATTTATTTATTTTTTTTTTGGTCGCGTTTCATTAAAACGCTTTTATCCTTTGTATCCCATCACCACATTTAATTCCTAATGACGATTTCCTCGTTGACGAAAGTGTCAAGCTTCAACGACGATGATCGTGGCCTAGAATCAGCACCGTGTTGTTTGGCTGTCACGAAAGTTTAAGTGCCGCTGTTGTCGGCACTGACGA